AGTTCTTTGACATGCTCTCCCAATGTGAGAGGCACTATTATCAAATGTAAGGATAATTTTGTTTATTTTTGCCCCTCGCTCAATCTGATTCAAAACCTGGAAGATGCATTTGTTCAGCTTGTGAGGAGATTTTTTCAAAACTGTCATTTACATTAATGCGAAGATTTGTTAACATATTGGCAGAACCAAACTACATTTTATTTCTGTTATCCTTGGTTTTGCATTCATTGATATACTGCTCAAGCTGTACAAAATTCCCACCATTGTTAAAAGCTTTTGGAGATCGCATGATTCTTTAAGAGGCATTGCTTTAATATTAATTTATTTGAAATAGACTTGTTACAAAGAATGTTATTTTTATATAGCTTCAAAGAAAGATTCATTGTAAAGAGTCCACTATATCACTATGTCTAAACTCCTCAACCTCCCTGGGCTCTCCCTCAGACTCACTGAACCAGTGCACAATCTAGGCGTCCGGTTTGACCCCCAGCTGTCCTTCCTTCCCCACATCCAGTCCCTGACCAGAACTGCCTTCTTCCACCTCCCCACATTGCCCGCCTCCAACTGTACCTTACCCCAAATGCAGCCGAAACCCTGTGCATGCACTTGTCACCTCCCACTTGGATTATTCAAACACACTCCTCCCCGGTCTCCCAGCTCCACCATTCACAAGATCCAACTCATTCAGAACTCTGCCGCCTGCATACTGACCCAGACCAAGCTCCATCCCCACCTCTCACCAGTTCTGGCCAGACTCCACTGGCTCCCCATCACTGAACGGATCGACTTCAAGATCCTCGGACTCATGTTCAAATCCATTCACTCCCTGGCACCTCCCTACCTCTCTGACGTCCTCACTCCCCAATCCACCACCCGGTGCCTCTGCTTTGCTTGACTGGTACCGGCCTCTTGCTCATCTCCCGTACCCTCTGCCCCACCATCGGAGGTCGCGCTTTCAGCCACTATGCCCCCAAACTCTGGAACACTCTCCCTCAATATCCCCACCTTGCCCCCTCTTCCCCCTTTCAAGTCCCGCCTGAAAACTTACCTCTTCGACCGTGCTTATGGCCACCTCCCACCTCCCCCCGGCTCAGAGTCAGGCTCCACCACTGTTAAGCACTCTGAGACACTACCCTGCGTGGAGGGCGCTTTATAAGTGCAAGTTGTTGTTGTTATTTCAGCCCGACTCAGTTCTCATCTCTTGGTCATAAGATTGTGGGTCAGGACCTGTAGATCCACATAGGGACTTGAACTCATTGTCCAAGCTCGCAGTACTGGGCGAGCATTGCAATATGAGAGGTGCCAACCTTCAGATCAGATCTCTTTCCGGGAGTAATAATCCCTCCAACCAAAAAATAAAATATTAATTTGGTTACTCAATCCACGCCCGTTTGTGGGACATTGCTGTGCGCAATTGGCTGCTGGGTTTCGCCCAAAAAATTCAGAGTGCCTACACTTTACAGTATATCCTGAGAAGCACTTTGAGACGTCTCAACATCGTGATAAGGCACTGTATCTAATGCAAGGTTTTATTATTAAAACAAGGTCTTGCCTGTCTGTTCAGGTGGGCTTTAACTATCCTGTGGCACTATTCAAAAGGAGTAGGGGGTTTCTTCTGGCTTTGTCCTGGCCAAAAACAATCACTCCAGATAAAATTGGTTTCTTGCTTCGTGGCCGTTTGGGGGAACCTTCTTATAAATTGGCTGCTAGGTTGGCTTACGAAAACAATTACTACATTTAACTAAAGCAATGGTTCAAAATGATTGTATAAAATGTAAGTTCTTATTATTCTTATAATTTTCTGGTGATGTATGTTCCAGTGTATCAGCAGTAGCCTAGATATTGTTTGCCCATAAAGCACAGTCACTCTCCTTTAAAGTATATCCTGTCAAGAGGTCCTCCCAACAGGAAAGGAAGTAAAGGATATTTAAGGATTTAATGATTATTTTGTGAAGAAAAAGACTTTAAATTTTTAAATCTCTTTAGAAACCCCCTACTCCTTTGAAATGTATTTATATAAACATTATAAAATTTATGTAAATATTTATGTAACAGATCTGAACAGTATTTAAAAAAATACACAGGAACGTTGAGCAGCTAATTAAAAAGGAATTAATGTGATATTGATTCAATAAGGAAAAGAATAAATTGTCACTTTAGATCAATGCTTTCCAGTAAAACTGTCAGACCAGTGCATCACAGACTATATTTGTGGTTCCTGACTGAATAATTACAATGCTACCAGTTACAGAGTGATCCACAAGTTCCTGAACTGCCATTTTCACATATCTACATGGTTAAACTCAGAGGTCACTAAAAGGTTATTGTATGCTACATAGACTCTGAGGGACAAAGTGTTTGATTCCTATGAAATTCACACCTTTTATATGCTAAACTCATCTAAAATGAGTTCAGCATATTAAAAACTTTTTTAAAAAGTTAGTAACTGGAAAAGTCAGTAGACCCGACAAGCTCACGCCCTTTTGAGAAGTCAGAATCCCATCTATCTATCTTTTCACCATTTCTCTCAATTGATTCTAATTTCTGCTTGTCGCCGTTTATACTGTTCCCTTGAATTAATTTTCCCCGCTGATTTATTCCACAAATTCAGTACTCTTCTTGTATAACAGAAAGCATCCAACTGACTTCACTAAAACTTGAACACCCTCATTTTTTAAGTTATATATTTGAACTCCTGCCAATTGAAAGGCTTGCATTCCACCTGGCATGAGTTAGTCCTGAAGATTCATTTCACTTCATTCCCTTTTTTTACAAGTTGCTATTTTGGAACAAAGGTATATAGGCAAAGATTCAAAACTCATTTTTGCTATTACGACCAATTTACTTTTCAAGGTGCTTCAGTGTCAGCCTTTTTATAGGTGTACTCAGGTGCCAGTAAACATCTGGAGTTATGACATCTTGCATAACATGAATGGTGGCAGGTTTCTAAGTATTTTAGAAACCCATCCTCGCCCGACCCCACTGGCTTCCCTTGGAAATTTTGGGCAAGTTTCCTTACTCCACATGCCTGATAATAATCCCTCAAGAAAAAAATAAATTGGTCATTTCAATCGACAAATATACAGTCAATTCACTTTACAGTATATTTTGTGAAGCGCTTTGAGACATTTAGAAGAAGTGAAAAGCGCTATATTCAAATGCAAGGATTATTATTATTCCCATCACACAGAAGATACAGTTCACGATCCTGGTCCTCACCTTCAAAGCCCTCCATGACCTCGTCCTCCCTACCTCTGCAACCTCCTAAGCCCCTGCCATTCTGCCCGTTCCCTCCACCCAGCGGGCTCCAATCTATTTCACATTCCTCACCTCGCCCATCCAACCATTGTCGGGTGGGCCTTCTGCCACTCTGCCCCCACCCTCTGGAACTCCATTCCACAGTCCCTCCACCTCACCCCCTCCCTTGCCTCTTTCAGGACTCATCTCAAGATCCTCTTCGACCGTGCTTTCGATCATTATCCTTCCCCCCCCCCGCCCTCCCCAATCCCGACCCCCAGCTCAGGTCTGAAACACTGATTGTCCAGCGCCTTGGGACGTCCTCCCGACATGAAAGGCACTGTACAAATGAGATAGTAGATAGATAGTTTAAGTAGCTAAGTAGAAGGTTCTTAAGAAGCTTGACACTGCTTTTCAAACTCTGGTATTTCTCCCCCACCCCCAAACCCTGGAGGCCTTGGGACATTCTCCTGATATGAAAGGCACTGTATAAATGCAATTTGTTGTTGTTATTGGACCTGATTTCATCAGTTTGTTGTTCATGGCAAAGGGTTCGGTCATTTACAGGTTGAAGTACGATCAAAGCAACACTGAAAGTTAGAATTCAAATGCCTTGCTAATCAGAAAATCCAAAGACTGCTTAAATAATGGAGTGGTTTTTTTTCCTCAAAGAAAAGCCTTGCCTTACTAGCTCTTATGTGAAATGCACTTTGAAATATAATAATAAGCCTTAAGGACGAGGCAGTTCTTGTGTTCAAACCCTAGTCTGTGCTAGGCTAGCTAATGTGTGCCAGGCCAGTTGATTGCAGTTTGGAGGCTGTTGATACAATTAGCCCGATTGCCCCAGCTATAGCGATGCAGAAATCAGTCAGGTTTGCCCCTTTAATCACAATCCAATGTGCACGAGGAAAAACAGGATTGGGCTTGACCAGGATAGTTGCACAATTGAATAGACTGCCAACACATGCATGCACATGAACAGTAACTATTTGGGTGAACTAATTAAAGACCCCCACCATGAACCTTCGGGAGTGGAGGAAGTCTGAGAGAACATTGTGAGGAAAAACAAATAAACATTGCCTTTAAGGTTAACACCCAGTTCAATACTTTCAGAGAGTGTTTGAAATCAATGTTTCCAATTATCCTTCGTTATATGGACCTGTCACGGTACAAAGCATTAAAATTAAAAGTGAGTGCCTACGATTCCTCTCTTATCCAACTGAAAGACCTGATACTGTTAACATTCCAGATATTTGGTCCCATAGCTCAGTGGTTAGAGCACTCGCCTCGCAAGCAAGAGACCTGGGTTCTATTTCCGGCAGGGTGAAATGTTGGCCGTTACATTATTCCACACGTCTCCCTTTACCTAGCAGTAAGTAGGAACTCGGTTGTTAGTCGATTGGTGGATCGCTTTTCTGAAGATCGTAATCCTTNAAAAAAAATTTGGTCACTCAATCCACAACTGTTTGTGGGACACTGCTGAGTGCAATTGATTGCCACGTTTCGTCCTCAAGTAAACAGTCAATTCACTTTACAGTATATTCTGTGAAGACGTCTATAAGATGTGAAAAGCCCTATATCAAATGCAAGGATTATTATTATTTATTACTGTAATATGGTGTTAACATTTTAGATTTTTACATAATATGATTAGTAAACCGGGTCACTGAAGCATAATCTCAAAACAGCAAGCACAAGTGGTGTGATCCCAGCACTTTATTAGCTGATGAAGTCACTGGAGGCTTGTGTTTTATGTTCTGCAGGTGGATGCCATGGCAATGGTACTGGAGATGCCAACATCTGAGACCAGTGAATCCAAGATCACAAACAAATTACAGGAAACAAAACAAGAAGATGCAATTGATGATGATGATGATGATGATGACGAAATTAATGAAAAGACAAAACTTCCAGACTACTTGAAAAGATTTAAAGTAGGTGGAACAATTGCCAGTTGTCTTTATGTATTGAGTCCATTTGAATGAAGTATTTGCCTGTGAACTTCTAATGCAAAACATGTTCCCAGTTCAACAACAGATTTGTACAGAATGGCATTGGGAATCCATCCCAGGAGATACTGGGATTAGTGTTGTTCTCAGTACTCCTTCCAGTATGTCTGATATCTCTCTTTGTGAAGTGTTCTTGCATGTTTTTTTTAAGATTTCTGACAACAGAAACAACTTAAAACTTTAGGTTGTACTTCCTTGAATGGGGTTTCAGATCACTGGCCTGATCAGGAACCGTACACTGAATCAATAGGATCAATGCACAGATTAAGGCAGTCATCGAGTCACCTAGTGATTCACACAGGAAATTCTTTCTCAACAAGCACACTTAATATCCAGGGCCACGGTTTTGCTCTCTGGGGATCTTCCTTCTGTTTCTATGGAGTTAATCTTCACTGCATGTTGACTGCAGTTAAAGGATGATTTTGTTCTGGATTGAATTTGTTCCTTCTCCAGCCAAACTGGAGAAAGACTGATAACACTGATCAACACTGATACAGCCTATCCAGTATAGCACCTTGGAATTCAAGTGTTTATACTTCACATGGACCTCCCACTCTTTCTGTTCACCTCTCCTACACCCTTCTGTTCCCTCCATGTATGCACGTTTGTAAATCACAATGGTATCTTATGTCGAGCTGTGTCATATATCATATATATCCTATATCGGACTTTGTTGGCAACGCTAGATAATAACAAACCTAATTGATAGTGTATTGATCAACTCATACGCCTGGGTCTTGACAAATATGGAAACCTTGTATATGGACTCTTCTTTTTCCAACCTCACCAAAAGAAATCCTGAAATGGGTGCCAGACTAGCGATGTATTTAAAAATCTCAATACACCAACTTAAAATAGAAATGCAATCTTAAAAGTGATTTGTGTTCATTTGTGGACACTATACTTGCAGGTACCATCCCACTTCAGCTATTGTCTAATCATCTGCTTTGTAACTAGTAACCTTTGTTCACTCACCTGTAACTTCTTGCAACTGTAACCTTTAATTTCCCACTCCCCACCCATGTTATTACTGTGCTACTGGGCTTTTTGTATGAAATAAAAAGGACTGAGAGGAGATGTCACCCCAAAAAGTGGAGTCCTGTAGCTCAGTGGTTAGAGCGAGACACCTGGGTTCAATTGCAGCCGGGCGAAACCATGGGCAAGTTTCCTTTCTCCACTCACCTGATAATAATCCCTCCAAAAAAAAAAACAATAATAAATTGGTCATTTTCAATCCATGACTGTTTGTGGGACATTGCTGTGCACAATTGGTTGCTGCGTTTCGCCCACAAATATACAATCAATTCACTTTACAGTCTATGCTGTGAAGCGCTTTGAGACGTCGAGAAGATGTGAAAAGCACTATATCAAATGCAAGGATTATTATTATCAGGTTTTTGTGTAAATACATTGGTAACAATTTCCTTAAAACACTGATTCTGGCAGTGAGTTCCACATTCTCACCAACCTCTGTAAATTCTGCCTAAATTCCCCTTTAGATCTATCACTAGCTACCTTATATCTATACCCACTAATTTTAGACTTACCAACAAATAGAAGCAGCCTATCAACACTCTTTGTTCCCCTCCCCCTTCCTTCTCTCTTTCCTTCACTCTCTCAAGCGCACTGATGTCACCATTAAAGACACTAATGCAAGTTGTTGTTGTATTTCCCTTTCTCTTTCCCTTCTACACTGACTAACTTGAGAGATGGAGGACAAATATTATGTTTCTTTGCTCACAGATTCCTCTAAATTGGTGGGTCTCTTGAAGTTGACATTTCAAAAAGACAAAAAATCCTCTTCATGAGTGACGATACTTAGTTAAGCTACAAAGTCCAGATTTTTCACCATTAATAGCTTAATTCTGTCACATTTGTCAACTGCACTGTACAACAATAGATTTATCCCATTTGTTCTCTGCCCAAACATTCACAATAACCTCTGTTTCACTTTTGCTAATCCTCATATTTTATTCAATAAATATAGCGGAACTCAATCCTCAACAATGAATGAGACTGTAGCTATATTTCCTTGGGGAATACTGTTGTATTATTGGAATATAGGAAGCTGTCAAATATAAAGCTAGTTGCACAACATTATCTTCTATAACAGAAAGCTCACGTTTTTATTGAGCTGTGTTTAATACAGTGCATTTAGCAATGTAAGTAGAACATGATGCTTAAAGTTGTACTTGATGTGAATTTGAGAATGTGATGTGAATTGAGGAGTTTATTTCACTGTCCACCAAGGCCAAACCATTTTGGACTACAAAATACCTACTTAAAAAGTTAATTTGTATTCTGACAATTAATGAGGTTATATTTTTGTTGCTTCCCCTTCCGGTAGGAATTACATGCAGAGCTGCAGTCCCTTGGAAAGATCGAAACAGAAAGCCTAATGACTATGACAGAGAAACTTATAACAGAAAACCTCCTGGCCGCTGAATCCAGCGAGATCCAAAAGTTTGAGAAGAAATTAGAAGAGTGGGAAGAAGAACGAGCTGCACTGATTCAGCGAGAAAAAGAGATAAGAGAGAAGGTGCGTCTGGAAAGGGAGGCTAGACAAGCTGCTAAAGCCAAACGTTAAGCCTCAGTTAATGTTTGTACATTGCCCCACAACTCTGATTAAATTGTAACAGTGAATGCTCAGTGTTTCCAGTGTGTTATGTATTTATTTCTCTGTAATTAAAGCCATAATCTTTCATTTGATATAGCGCCTTATCACGCCATTGAGACATCTCAAAGGGCTTCACAGAATATATTGTGAAGTGAATTGACAAGTGTATTTTGCAGCCAATTAATAATAATAATAATCCTTGCATTTGATATAGCGCTTTTCACGTCGGGAGGACGTCCCAAAAGCGCTTTACAGAACACACTGTAAAGTGAATTGACTGTATATTTGTGGGCGAACGCGGCAGCCAATTGCGCACAGCAATGTCCCACAAACAGTCGTAGATTGAAAATGACCAATTTATTATTGGTTTTGGAGGGATTATTATTAGGCTCTGTGTGGAGTAAGGAAACTTGCCCAAGGTTTCACCCTGCCTGCAATTGAACTCAGGTCTCTCGCTTTCAAAGTGAGTGCTCTAACCACTGAGCTAAACAGTCGTGGATTGAGTGACCAATTTTTTTTGAGGGATTATTGCCCCTGGAAAGCAATTCGCCAATCGACTGACAACCGGGTTCCTACTTACTGCTAGGAAAATAGAGGCGTGTGGAGTAAGGAAACTTACCTAAGGTTTTCTCCCCACGCGGGAATTGAACCTGGGTCCTCATGCTTGCAATCCAAGCGCCCAACCACTATGCAACGGGAGTCCACATTTTAAAAAAAAAATATGGAAACTAGCCTGGTTTGAATCATCCCGAGTAGAACCCATATGATTGCAAATATATATTTTTCACAAGGCAATTAAAATCCAGGGCTCTGAATTGGCTACGGAGATGAAAGCATCCTCCCTGATATCCAGCTAATGACAAACTGAAATTTAATTAGTTGGCACGATTCAGGTCAATGTTTATTTATATCAGTGTAACTGTTACTTAACCTTTAAGTAACACTAAGTGTTTAACAAAAACTGCAGGTGAACCACATCTGTTTGGTAATACATTCATTAGGCAAGTATTTTTGCAGAATTTGTATAAAGAGTCTGATCTCAGCACTGAGTAACCTAACTTACTATTTGGGCATTACAAATGAAAGTAGAGGAGAGAAGCTGGATTGTGCTCTGTTCTCCCATCAGAAATATAAAGGAGGAAATCTTCCCCACTCAGTGCAGGTTCAGTTTTGCACATTGCTTCCATGCCCATAATCTGTTAATAAGGTTTAAAATGTGGGATAAAGAATCCTATTGGCCTGTAGGAACTCTACTCCGTAAATAGATTGGATTGCTTCTAATTACCAGAAGGACTTCATTTTGTTGTTCAAGACTCCCATTAGAAATCTCCATATTTTAGACCCGAATGACATGATGCGCATGTACTTACATACATATTGTTGTGATGTTTGTGAGTATGTTTGAGCATTATTAGCATATTCATTGTTCAAATATTACAACTTGAAATTCATGTCTGCTGCTGGAGTCATTATAACTGCTCACGCTGGCAGCAAAGCAAACTGAATATTGTGATGGTTTCCAAAAAATAACACAATAAGTGACACGTTTTCACAGCATAGCCTCTTGGGACTTATTATTGCACTCATGTTATGCTTATGAAGGTGAAAAATGACAGCATCTCTGTTTTTCAGCCAGTCTGTCAAGTCAGGGTTATTTCCAACAATAATATTGAAATGATGGCTATTAACATTGTGTGTTGAAGCTGACACTTCTCGGCCAACTGTATTGTTGTGCTATATCCTTGGCTAAGATTTAGAAACATGTTTTACAAAAAACATACACTGGGGCCTAATATTGCAATGATTTCCAATGGGATTCCTTAATGAGGAACATGTGTTGCAGCCACTCAAGGGAACGCCACTCTGACACAGTCTACAGTAGAGCAGAGTTTCCTAGCATGAATGTGAGTTGTTTGATATAAACCTGATTGCAAGTAAGAATTGCTGTTTGGATTCTTTATTAAGAAATACATTAGAAATTGCTACATGTTATCACGAATCCTAAAAACTGTTGACACTGTACCTTAATTATATATTTCCATAAATTTAACACCTGTTAATCTGACAAATAATAAATAACAATGATTAATATAACCCCTTTTCAGGTGAATATTCAGAATGCAGATCTAAATTAATATGTGTCCAATAAAGGGGATTGATATAATCATAAAATCATTTGCTGACTTAATGTTGAATCAGATTAATCACCTATTTAAAGCAAACAAAATGAGCGTGTAAATTACACTTTATTGAAGGAGCATCATACCAAATTTCAAATTAATCAGAATTATATTGGTTATATTATATTGCTCGTTTCCTTGAGCATTTTGATTGAATTTTTCAGCTGGAAATGGTTGTATCCTTGACAATAATTAACATTCCTGGGATGGGATGTCTCCAGTTTGACTCAGAGACAGCCCAAAGCTCCTTCCTCTCATGTGCATACCCAAATGCCTGGTACAACTCAACTACTCATATAGAACACCAGCCTTTCCATCTAGTAGGACAATCAAGAGCAGACAAGAGGACGTAGTCTTCAAATTAAGGACAATAATCCTTGCTTTCAGTATAGTTCCTTTCACGTCAGGAGGACGTCTCAAAGCGCTACACAGTGAAGTGGAGTGACTGTATAATTGTAAGCAAATGCGGCAGCTCAATTGCGTACAGCAATGTTACACAAACAACCATGAAGTGAATGATCAATTTTATATGTGGGATTGTTGGCCAGGACACCTCTATTCTCTTCTTTCTCACGTAGGCTGGGGCTGTGACTCAGATTTTATCAAATAAACTCTTTCTGCCCGCCCACATTCACACAATTCTACTCATAATGGACTTAAACGTTTGAGCTAAAAAAACTTCTGTGTAATGCTGCAAATATAGCAGTTCAGCTGGAGCGGTTATTGTCACAGCTGAATTTGAGTAATTTGTTTGGTTACAATTCACTATGATGGCCTTGACCGAGAGTAAAATAGAATACCTCCTTAAATAGAGTTGTCAATAAATGTTTCTAACCAGAAATTAGTTACTTCTACAAAGGATATCTCTCATTCAACTACAAGTGGGAAATGACCAAACTATCACGGGTCTAATGAAATTTCTACTGAGAAACTATAATGACTCTCAAACAATGATGTGTCGGCTTGACATGTGGAGAGATAGATTCACTGATTTCTTAAATTGCCATTTGTTTGGATTTAGATCGAGTATTTAATGGCAGCATCCTGATAGCATGAGAAATAACGGCAATAGAATGAAGGGGACAGTAAAGTAAATGAAAAATAATCGAGTGAACTGGATTGCACTCAGCACAGTGACTAAAGGGACACTTTCAATGGCACAGCTATTCATCATTTTACCTACAGGCAAATCTGAGGATTATTTCAGGTGAAAAGACAGCAATGAAGTGATGTTCTACTCTGTTCATTTTGATTGAGTGAATAAATGAATGAAGGCTTTTGATAAGGTACCACATAAAAGGCAAATAGAGAAAGATAAGGCACGTGGTACAGTATCGAGGCCAGTTGGTAGCATGAATAAAATGATGGTTTAAAAACAGAAGGCAGAAAGTGGGTGTAAATGATGGTTTGTTGGATTGTCTGGATACAGTTAGTGGTGAACTATAGAGAACTGCGCTGAAACCTTATTGTTTTCCATCTATATTAATTATTTGGAATCCAGCCTTAGGTGGCAGCTAAACATCATTTAAAACAATTGGCTTGTGTCACAAAAGGTGTTTACCAGCACACTAATCATTGTGGGGATGTCCAGTGTGTGCGCTGGTTGCAACAACAACAACAAAATTACATTACAGGAGGATGTCCCAAGGCGCTGCAAGATTTTGGTTGTCTACAATCTGTGGACTGAAAGTAGGAGTATGAGAGGTCACCCTTTATAGAATCGTAGAATTATACAGCACAGAAGGAGGCCATTCATCCCATTGTGTCTGTGCCGGTTCTCTGAAAAGAGCTACCCAAATCAATCCCACTCCCCCGCTCTCTCCCCATGGCCCTGCAAACTTGTCCTCCCCAAATAATTATCTACTTCTCTCTTAAAAGTCGTTATCAAATCAACTTCCGCCACCCTTTCAGGCAATGCATTCTAGATCTGAAAAACTTGCTGTGTGAAAACATTTCTCCTCACCTCCCCTGTTTCTTTTAACAAAGATTGTAAATCAGTGTCCTCAGGTTACCAACCCACCCCCGCCAGTGAAAATAGTTTCTCCTTGTTCACCCTATCGAATCCTCTCAGAATTTTGAAAACTTCTACTAAGTCTCCTCTTAACCTTCTCTGCTCCAGGGAGAATAATCCTAGCTTCTCTAAACTCTCCTGATAACTGAAATCCCTCATTCCTGGTACCATCCTGGTGAATCTCCTTTGCACCCTCTCCAATGCCTTTCTAAAGTATGGTGCCCAGAATTGATCATATTACTCTCACTGAGGCCTAACCAGTGTTTTATGAAAGGTTTATCATAACTTCCTGACTTTTGTATTCTATGTCCCTATTTATAAAGCCTAGTATCCCATATGTTTTTTTTTAAAAACAGCCTTATCTACCTGTACTGCCACCTTCAAAAATGTACTTATAATGAACCCCCAGGTCTCTTTGTACCTTCACCCCCTTTAAGATTATACCATCAGCTTATATTGCCTCTCCTCATTCTTCCTCCCAAAATTCATCACTTCGCATTTCTCCACTTTAAACTTCATCTGCCACATGTCTGCCCATTTTACCTGTGTTTACATCCCCTTGCAGTCTGCTACTATCCTCCTCACTGTTTACTACTTTTCCTAGTTTCGTATCATCTGCAAACTTGGAAATTTTATTCCCTATACCCAAGTCCAGGTCATTTATATAGATCAAAAAAATCTTGATCCTGTGAGTAAGTACAAAAGCTAACACCCGCCTTTAAATGTGTTTCTCTGAAACAAACTCCTAATTATTCTGCTCTTCACAAAATATTGTTTCCTCAAAAACAAAAATTTACATTTATATAGTACTGTTGAAAGCAGGAGGACATCTCAA